GTTACATACAGTTTAAACTAGAAGCGTCTGGTCTCCTGGCCTGTGGCTGTTATGTTTTCTGGACTGCAATGTTAAGAACTGTTTTTTAGCAGTTGCTTTGGGGGGAGGGGAAGACCTCTGTTACATAAGATACAAGCAGCCCCACTTTTTAAGGTGTAGGCATACATGCACATGGTTAGTACTATAAATAAGTATCTGAATTACAGATTTCCTGGGTTTGCTAGCGTGGATGCAATGGAGAGGCTGTGGCTTGGGTGGAACATTTGACAAGCAAACTGGGCCTAAATAGCTTAAATTAAGGAAAATACACCATTGGGTCATAGAAGGATTAAATGTACATATGTAGGACTTTTACGAGCGATTCATGACCTTATGCATATACCAGGAGCTGCGTTGGAAGTGAAACAGCTGGGATTGGAACCAGTACATTTCCAGGCAATGATTTAACCCACTATGTACCATTTTTTCACGGAAAAATCTTAATTTATCTTGCCCCTCCCCTTATTTTTAGATTTCTTTTTATTTGAAAGATTTCAGAGAGGAGAGAGAACTTTCATCCGCTAATTTGCCCCCCAAATAGCTGCAGTGTCTAGAGCTTATGTGATCTGAAGCCAGGAGCTTCTTCCAGGTCTACCACATGGGCACAAGGTCCAAAGTTCTTGGGCCATCCTCCAGGCCATAGCAGGGAGTTGGCTCAGTAGTGGAGCAACTGGGGCACAGACTGGCACCATATGGGATGCAGGTGCCCTGAGCAGAAGAGTAGCCTGATGCACCACCATGTTTATCCCACCTCCCTTTTTGACTTGAGAAATCACTAGTCATGTTTGTTTTTGAAGCTATAGTGAAATGTTTGTAGAAGGCTTAGGAAAGAGTTAAATGGTAAGAAGTTATTAGTGTGTTCCTGCTTCAGTTCTCAGAAATTCAGTCCAACTGATAGTCGTTTCTGCATGTGGAAAATCTTGAGATAAAGTACTTCATACAGTCCTGCTTCTTATTTTTCAAAAGACAAAGTTGGAGGAAGAGCCAGATCCTCTGTCTGCTGGTTCACTTCTCAGTGGCTGCATCGGCCAGGGCTGGGCCAGGCTGAATCCAGGGGTTTGACCTGGCTTTCCCACATGGGTGCAGGGTCTCAAACCTTTGGGCTCTCCTCCATTGTTTTCTCAGGCGAGTTAGCTGGGGGCCTGATTATATAAGTAGAGCAGCTGGGACATGAATCAGTAATTGGTAGCCCATAAGAGATGCCAGCATTACAGTCTTGAGACTTAATCTGCCCTGCCATGGTGCCAGCCAACAGCTCTGCTGTAAACTGGGGGAATGTGTTCTCTCTATAAAGGCACACTATATGTAACTTTTTGCTTTTTTTTTTTTTCTTTTAAGGTTTATATGTTTATTTTATTGGAAAGTCAGATATATAGAGAGAAGGAGAGACTGAGAGGAAAGATCTCCTGTCCACTGATTTCACTCCCCAAGTGGCCCCAATGGCCGGAACTGAGCTGGCCTGAAGCCACGAGCACTTCCGGGTCTCCCCCATGGGCATGGGGTCCCAGGGCTTTGGGCCATCTTCTACTGCTTTCCCAGGCCACAAGCAGAGAGCTGGATGGAAAGCAGGGCTACTGGGATTAGAACTGGCACCCACATGGGATCCCGGCACTTGCAAATCAAGGAATTTAGCCAGTAGGCTACCACGCCGGGCCCAAACTTTTAAAGACTCATTGATACCTACTTACAGCATTGGAGACTACAGAGATTCATTGTGTAAACCATATGAAGCAATGAAAGTAGCTTTAAATTGTGTTTTTTGTGTTCATTTTGTTAAGCATTCTTTTTTTTTTTTTTTCCCAAACAGAAAAGCTTATTTGCAAAGGGAGCAGGGACCAGGGAGCAGGGACCAGGGAAGGGAAGGAAGGGGAAGCACCTCTAGAAAGGAAGCCGGGACGTGGGGTGCCTCTGGAAAGAGGAGGGAGAGAGACACCCAAGTGTTCATTTTTAAAAGGTTTATTTATTTGAGGGGGGTCATGCTGCCATGTAGCAGGCTAAGCCTCCTCCTTTTGCGACCGCATCATGTATAGGGGCGCGGCTTGTTTGAGTCCAGTGGCTCAACTTCTGACCCAGCTACCTGCAGGGGAGGGCCTAGTTCTTGGGCCTGTGCACCTGTGTGATAGACCCAGAGGAGGCTCCTGGCTCAGTGCAGCTCCGGCCATGTGCTCTTTTGGGAAGATCTGTCTCCTCTCTGTGTAACTGCCTTTCAAATGAAATTAAATCTTTAAAAAGCTATTTACTTGAAAGGCAGAGTGATAGGGGGAGAGAGAGTGGGAACCTTCACTCTGGTATGAGATGCTAGCGTTACAGGTGGCGGTTTACTCCACTGCAGCACAGTGCCAGCTCCTTATTTGTTTGTTCTGGTTTGCAGTGAGCTTTGTGTTTTTTAGTCAAGGCCTATGGGAGCAAAAGAACAGTGGTTGAGTACTATATTCAAATTTTGAAGTTAATAAAATGGTCTGCTTAAAATAGAGGAAGGATGGTAGGAGTAACAAAAAGGAACACCAAGTAGGCAGATATTTAAAAAAGTAGGATGTGTGCCATTTTAGGGGAAAAAAAAGTAGTTCTAATTGAAAGTCAAGAGTTAGAAAGAGAGAAATAGATCTTTTATATACTGGTTCACTTTCCTAATTGCTGCATTTGCCAGATCTGGGCCTGTCTGAAGCCAGGAGCCGTGTGGGAGACCCAGAGGAAGTTCCTGGCTCCTGGCTTTGGATTGGCTGAGCAACAGCTGTTGCAGTCACTTGGGGAGTGAATCATCAGACGGATGATCTTCCTCTCTGTCTCTCCTCCTCTCTGTATATCTGATTTCGCAATAAAAATAAATTAACTCTTTTTAAAAAAGTCAGTTTTAACCTGTTAGGGCTAAACTCAAGTAGTGTGAGAGTATATGCAGTTGAAATCTGGTGTTTGGCTTTCTAGTTTTGATCCAGTTGGGACACTTCTTACTTGAAATGATGGGATGCAAATTTAGTTTTTACTTGTAGATGCAGATTTAAGAGAAGGACATTGAGGGCCCGGAGCGGTGGCGCAAGTGGTTAAGGTCCTTGCCTTGCACGCCCGGGATCCCATATGGGTGCCGGTTCTAATCCCAGCAGCCCCACTTCCCATCCAGCTCCCTGCCTGTGGCCTGGGAAAGCAGTTGAGGATGGCCCAAAGCTTTGGGACCTTGCACCCGCGTGGGAGACCCAGAAAAGGTTCCTGGCTTCGGACTGGCATAGCATGGGGCCATTGCGCTCACTTGGGGAGTGAATCATCGGATGGAAGATCTTCCTTTCTGTCTCTCCTCTCTGTATATCCGCCTTTCCAATAAAAAAAAATAATAAATCTTTTAAAAAAAAAGACATTGAAAGCCACATTTGTGAAGGATGGACCAGAGGGGAGGAGCCAGATACTCCTGGCATTAAGAACATTAAGGTCATAGGAATAAGGTTTGATCGAGAATCGTAACTTAAATCCAGATATCCTGAAAGCCAAAGTAGAGGTTGATCGTCAGAAGAAAGGTTGGAGAAATGGTATATTCCTGTAAGTTAAGAAAGAGCAAACCAGGTAAAGGAGTTTAAAATTGGGACTGGCATTTGATGTAGTGCTTCCGGCCCCTTTGTCTGAGTCCTGGCACTGCTTCTGCTCTAGGTCTCGTAATGTGCACTTGGGTGCAGCAGATGGCATCTCAAGCATTTGGATCCCTGTTTGTCATGTGGCAGATCTACTGACTGGGCTGTGACAGGCCTTTGGGGAGTGAATCAGCAGATGGAACTTCTGTCTTTTTGCCTTCCAATTAGAATTAGATTTTTAAAATGAGAGTAAGTTCAAACTGATAGTACTGTTGCATATTTGATTTTAGTCAGTTCTAAAGAATTGTTTTTTAAATATTTATTTGAAAGGCAGAGTTCAAGGGAGACAAATCTTCCATTGCCTGGTTCACTGGGTCAGTGGAGTGGGTCTGGAGATGGGAGCAAGGACCAGGAGCTTCTTTCAAGTCTCTTGTGGGTGCAAAGACATAAGTACGGGCACATTTTCTGCTTTCTCAAGCATATTAGGGAGCTTTCAGGGTATTTATAAGGGTTGCCTGCAGGGCAGATGGTGCTGGCTTTGCCCAGTTTACCACAGTGCTGGCCTCCTGCAGTTTTCTTTTTATAGAGAATGCATTCATTATATAACTTAGGAACTTTATTTTTCTTACCTTAAACAGTCCTTACATGGTGGTTTGGAAGATAATGTGTAGTGGCTGGAATACAGAAGCCCATTAAGTGTGCAGTTACTGTTTTTTAGTAGGAATCATACTGACTTAGGATCAAAATGACCACAGCGTCAGTAAGAACAAATGCATAAGTTTAGACCTACCAATGGCTTAATGCTTTGGCTTTTAAAAGCTACGTGGATAATTGTTTTTAAAGGAGCAAAACCCTTTATATGAAGTAATGGAAAACTATTCTGGATAAGTTTACGAACAGCTCAGTGAATGATTCCTTTAAAATGTATTTAGATTTATTTCTGGGAGAACTTGAGTGTTGTAGTTCCCAGAATCCATCCTCTGGTGGATTTTGGTCTTTTCCAGGGGAGAGAATAGTAGTTGTGTGCTTGGTGATTGTCCACAGCCACTTTTACAGAAAAGGCAATTAAAATGCACGAGTGTGTCCAGGGCCTTGGACTACTACTATGGATCTGAATCTGCTAGGGTTATTTTGGCAAACTATGTGTATGTGTGAAGTTAGTTCCATTAGGCCATTTTTGGGAGAATGACATCTAAACTTTATCAAGAATAATAGGAAAGCAGTTTATTTAGTCATTAGGTTTGGGATCAAAAGTAACTTTAATTGGGATGATTAATTGTTACTGCTTTGGCTTAAAATATGAGAAGCCAGTTTTTATTTGTGGAAATATCTGCCTTAGAAGTTTTTATATTCGTGTGTTTGGGGAAGTTCTAATTCAACATTTCAACTTTTGTCTTACCTCTGTAGGAACGCCAAGGTCGTGGGAAATGAAAGGCAGTCCTGCACATACTGCAGCAACGGTTGCATCTGCATACCCCTGCGAGGGAAAATGACCTTCAAGAAAATTAGGACTTTTTTCTGAATTTCATTGACTTACTTCAGAGACGATTGCAGACTTGCAGTTTAAGTATTGGAAATTCGCAAAAGACATAGGACTTAACTGGAAAATGGGGAAAAAAAAAAGAAAAAGAAAAAACTAAACAAAAAATCCCTCTAGGTAGTTTAGATGAAAAATGTCCCTTTTATTTTGGCTTTGGTTGTGATTTCAGAGCATAATGCTTTGTTTTTTTGTCTTTTTACTATGTTTTCCGGATTTTTAAGTCCGTAAGTGCATACAGTTTTCTCTAATTTTTAAACCCTTTCCTCTTCCCATTTTGACATTTGCACTTGGAGAACACTTGAGTTGCAAAGGTTTTAGGCGTCCACCCCAGAAAGTGGGAATTTGATTTTTTCCCTTCCAAACTGGAAGAACATTTTTATGAAGAATTTTTGTCTAGGAGAATTTAACAGTGTTACCCAAGGTTGTGTCTTTAAGGGTGGTTCCTTTTCAGACCCTTTGTTACTGGGCGTACTAGGAGTCCTGAGAAATGTTCTGTTCTTGTACATTATGCTGATGAAGTCTGATTAATTTGGTTTCAGAGCTAAGAACAGTGGTAAAAACTCGTTAACAGAAATGCATTTTGGAAGAGAAAAAAAATATTGTAAAATGTGTAGTGGATGTTTCTTCAGTTTCTTGTTCAGCCAATGAGGAAAGGGCATTGCCTTTCTTTTTACCATTAATCACTCTCAATAAACGTGAGATCCTGTTGAGCATCACTTCTAGTACCATTTAGTATTATTTCAATCGTGTGTAATAAAAGATGTAGTGTGGTTAGAAGACCCAGGAGGTGAGACAGCAGCTACTTCAAGGAAATGTGGGCCAAGAAGAAACAGGTGAGGCCTGCTCTGTGACTGATCTCTGGAAGGTAAAAGGGACCTCGCGTTCATGATGCTTCGTGTCTGAGGATTTCCCAGAGCAGTGAGAACCACTGCAGCCTCCTGTCAGCAAGTACTTACTTGACTGTGTCCTAGGCATTGGGCACTGTGCCAATAACTTCATCCCCAGTCCTGCCCAGCTGGCTTAGGAAGGAACAGCGTCTGGGGTAAAGGATGTCAAGTTTCTCATCTGAAACAGGATTAGTTCAGACAGTATTCCACATGGATGCTGGGCTGTAAAAGAAACTCCGCTGGCCTTGGGTCTGTGAAAGTTTCGTCTACCCTAATGCTTGATTCATCCTTGTATGTTCCTTACAATTTGGAGGCTTCTCTGCTTTTACAATACTTTAAAGATTTTTGGCTTCTGCAATGTTCCAAGAGTTTAGATGTGTGAAACCACCTCACAAAGAGTTCTGAAAATGAGTTTTAATGCTGTTGGATAGTTTTGTTCTCACATGACTTACTCAGCCAAGCCTACTAAGTTTAAGGATGCCACTAGAATGGGTAAATGTTGATCAGCATAATTAAAGTTGATGCTTAAAATTTGTTTGTCCAAGGGCCTAGTACAACACTTCTAGATATTCTGTCTATAAGCTTTTTTGAAATTCATCGCACACAGCCCCCGCCCCCAAATTGGGGAGCTCTTTAGTGTTTTCATTGGTTTGAGTACACCTGATTTGCTGGTAAGAAATGGAAAACTCAAAAGTGTTCCCACTTTTAGCCCCAAATTGTACAGGCCTCATTGTTACTCTGTATTACCTGTGTTGGATTTATGTTGCATGTGGCATTAATCAAGAATATGTTTGATCTTTTTTTTTTCCTCCCCTATTTCAAATGTTAGTACCTCAGTTGGAAGCCTACATCTCAATTTTCAACTCGCATGTAGAAAATTTAGTAATGGCCCTGGGAATAGACTGAGCAGAATTTGGAGCCACTGACAAGATAACTCATCTTGGTTCAAGATCTTGGGTTTTTGTTTTTTAAAAAAAGCCATTCTGACCTTTTCTGTAGTATGTGAAACTAGATTAAGAATTTGGTCCAAAGTTTGGTTTAGGGAAGGACCCCCCCCCCCCCAAATGCAGCTAAATCAGTACCACTGACACTTGGTGACTGTTCTCAGGGCTTTGAATGGCCAAGTTTATTTACTTTTTTGTTGATGGGAAAACAAATCTTACATCAGTGTCATAATTCAAGGAGTTGCATTTCACATTACTCAGTTACTTTTAGCTACATTGGATTGGCCATCTTCCTTCAAAATGTCCAGTAAATTAAAGACTGACAGAATGGCAGAAGGAAGTTAGGTGTGGAGCAGGCTGCAGCCAGGAACTCCAGGCACTCCCTCCAGGTGCAGCAGCCATCTTCCACTGCCTTTGTAGACACATGAGCTACGAAACTGGATTGGAAACAGCAGCTGGGGCTGCAGTGGCAAGCTGGCAGCTTAGCCTGCGTGCAGCGCAACACCACCACCCCGTTTTAAGACAGTGTGACAAAGTCTGGATAATTGCCATATGCCATTCACTAGACTTCTTCCAAATGTTAAGGACTGATGAGCAGTGCTGGCTGGTCTGTAGACTTCAGTCTTGCCTGTTTTGTGCGTTTCTGTCACTATCCAGCCTTAAGATTCCACATTGCATTTATTTGTCTTTGGTCTAGTCTGCCTGTGTCCATTTTTCACATATGCTTTAGGATGCCTGATCTGATAACATCTCACTCTGAAGCCAGTTTGCCCTTTGTCCTCTGTACAGTAGACCAGGACACATGATGCTAGTTGGATTTATGTTGGAATACTTGAATACTTGGTTAAAGTGATATCCACCCGATTGCTCCTCTGGTAATAATAAGTAACTGAGGGGTGCACTTGGGATAATTTTGGCATCCATGGATTGCTGTTGCCTGCAACAAATATTACTGTGGCACTTGCTTAAATGTTAATTTGTTGTTTCGATTCCTGTTGACTAGTTAGAATTCTACAGGGAGGCTCTCTCTTTCCTCCTCTTTGATTATATCAGGGGATTCATGTTTTCCGGTAGGGTCGGTGCATTCATTTTATTCCTCAAATTGTTTCAGCTTTGGCCTTTAACATTTGAATCCTCCCTCCCCCTCGCCCGCTACTTTCTCATCCCCTCCCTGGCTTACCAAGGCTGGAGGCAGGGGCTGGGAAAGCTGTTCAGGACTCCTGGGGTGAGGTACTGGAATCCAAATGGGGTATCACTGCCACCTCGCAAGGATCTGCATTAGCAGGAAGCACTTCAGGAGCCAGAACCGGAAGCCCAACCCAGGCATGTGTGCTCTGGGCTAAGCATCCACTCCTGTGTCTTTGTGACAAACTCCCAACATATCTTGAGATCCTCTGGAGACTACTGCAGGATTTTCCCTGCCTCAGTCCCTGGGAACTCTGATGCCTTCCACAGAAGCATATTTAGAGGGACCACTTTTTTTGGGGGGTGGTTAAAGCAATAAAATTACAGTGGATTATTAAACGGGTTCATTACCAGTAGGTGACAGTGGAGGTTTAGTTTATGTGAAAATACTTCCCCACTTAATTTTTTTAACTCTCCTTAAATGACTCCATATAGGAGGGGCTTCATAAAGTTTCTGGAAAATGTGCCGTGAACCCCCCCTTGTGGCAGTGGCAGGGTGGGGCTCTGTGTTGATGGGTTTTGCACTCTACCCAGAGTATTGGATATCTTGGGGTTCCACACCTCCCAAGCTTACCTCACGGGTTCAGGGTTTTTTTTTTTTTAACTGTGAGGGAGTAAGGGAACATGTGTCCGTCTCCATAATGGAGCTAGTACGGGAAGAACTTGAAATACTGTCACTATGATAGGAGTGGCGTGTGCATTTCATGTGTTACCGACAGGAAGTATGCCCCTAGGCCTATCTTGTAAGTAAATTTACTTCTTTCTGCAGTGCCGCTGTGAGGACAGCATGGGAGGGGAGCACGTTCCTTACCCTTGAGAAGCTTTTCTTTAGAATTGCAATAGTCAACGACAGCTGCTGTTGGATTGGCACAGGAGAAGCTGCCACACCGTCCCACACCTACTCCGCGGCCCCGGTTCCAGGTCTGCAAGACCGGTTCTGGAGTGGGGCCTGGAGGGAGGGCCCTCCATGCCTCTGAAGTCGCCGGGGTCTCCATTGCTCTCCGCGACCTCCGCAGCCTTTGGTTTTTCAACTCTTTTCCCGCTGGCAGAGCGGCTGTTGGGCCGCGTGGGAGGGTAGGGTCAAGATGGTGTCCGCTATTGCTTCTGCGCCTGCGTAGGGGCCGCCCCCAGCGCCGAATCCCTGCCTTCAGGTGAGTGAGCCTCCGGGGGTCAGGCAGGTGGGGATGGCGCCCAGCTGCTGGCGGGTGCGGGCACCTAGTGTGCACTGCTTCCGGCCTATTCAGCGATGCTCGCCCCACCTGTTGCTCCTGGAGGCTCCTTGTGGGCTGCGAAACCAGGATGTGGCCTGCGCGGGCGGCGCGGGAGGAGACTGCTGGTTGGGCAGCCCTGCCCAGTGTGCGCCTGTGTCCTTATCTGTGTGTGTGTTGAGGAGGGAGGATTCTGGAACCTTATCTCCCACTAATCATTCAGCATGTGTTCCAGTGGTGCAGTTGTTGGGCCCGGGACGCAGAGGCGGGGAGAGGAGAAAAGAATGAATAAGACCAAGAAGATAAGTGGAATGAATATACTAACCCCATTGATTTGGAGTTGGGAGGGAGTGGAAGAGGAGGGCAGAACACCGCCCCTTCCCAGTAGGATTTGCATCTTTCCCCCTCCCCCGGCCACCTTATCCCTCCCAGGTTGAGCTCTCAGGCTTCCTTGCTCTGTATGCATTTGCTCATTGGAAAGGGGAAATGACGTTTGAAGTCACTTGATTGTGTGGCTTTCTTTTAAAACAGGGTTTTAAACTCATTTAAACTAGTAATTCTTTACAACTAAAAAGTTCAGACAGGTGATAAGGAATTTAAAAAAATATGTTTTTTTAGTTTGCTGTATAAATACAATCATTGTATATATAGTGTGTATGTGCTCCTAAGTGTACAGGAACACAATTTTTTTTTAGAAAATAGAGTAACAGGGTTCTCCCTCTCACCTCTTTACCCACCATCTCCTGAGTGCTTTGATTATAACCCACTAAAGCAGGACTGCTGGGGAACCTGGGGTGAGGCACACCCCGAGGGCCCGGTCAGCAGGAGCTGCTCTTGCCCCATCTTGGAGCATTGGAACTCCAGCTGTAACAGGGGTCTGCTTCCTTCCTGGTTTTAGAGGAATGTTACTCCACCGGAGCCATTGGGATGCTGACACACAGGCCATGTCCTGAGTGTCGGATGGAAGGCTAAGCCAGCCGGGACTAGCTGGGACTAGCTTAGGAGAACAGATGGCTCCATGCCCCAAACAGTCCTGGGCACCAGCGTTGCAGCAGAATATTGAATCTCTCCTGTCTTCAGAGGGACGTTAAGGCAGGTGCAGACACCATGCTTGTCAGCTGGCGGGTGAGTGCGAGAGAGAAAAGTGACACAAGACAGGATGTGAGGCTGGAAGGAGGGGCGCTGTGAGTCATGATCCGTTGGGTAAGGTGTTGAGAAGAATACACCTTGTTTTCTCTCCCTACCTCTTCTCCTTACCTAGTGGATGTCATAGTCTGTCATGATCCCACTCCCCTACTTTATATTTACCAATGCACCGTGGCCTCTTTTGCTTCGTCCATATTAATGGTGAAGCTCCGCCCATTGACACCTGTGCGTTTCATAACATGGCAGGAGAGGAGCAGTCCACCTGGCTCTTGTTTTGGATTCATGCCTATCGACTTCAGCAGGAAGACCCAACATTTCCTTCGTGTACTCACAGGACAACCCGTTTCATACCTACTCGCTTTTCTCAAGCCCTTAGCCTGCCTCTCCCATCTCTGCTCTTGTCTGACGACATCCTACTTGATCAAGGAGAACTGAAGCCATCGGAACAAAACAGCAGGTTCCTATTCTGTCTGCTCGCCCCATGTGCTGCCCAACCGCCTCCAAGACCAAACTGGCCAGCAACAGCCCCACCAGGGAACTTGTCAGAAATGCAAGTTCGTCCCATCCCAGACCTGCTGGATCAAAGTCAAGGGGTGGTCTCGGGGTGTAGGCCTGCCAGCAGGCCCCAAGGACACCGAGGGTGAGGCAGATGGTAGCCTTGGTCGCAAGAACCACTGGAGACAAGCTGGTGAGGAATGTCCGCTTTGTTAGGCAGTGGTTACAGGTTTTAAAGGGTAAGGAAGGGGAGGGCAGGAGGGAGCCTTCCAGCAGACCCCACGCCCACCAGACACTGTAATTGGCTGTATGACACATCTGTCTCCCTAGATCTTCCGGTCATGTCAGAGGTCATGTTCCAGGTGTACTTGCCTTGATCTTCTAGCCATGTTGGAGGTCACACTCCACATGGGGAAGGTTAGGCTTAAGCCACACCCTCCAGGCAGCAGGGCAGGGGCCTGGGTGACCGCCCACAGGGTGGCATCCAGGCACTTGTGCTTTCCAAGTCCTCCCTAGAGTATGAGACCCTTCATCCTAGGATGATGCCTGCTCCTGGAGCAAACCTTCTCTGTGTGCGACAAACCTCAACTCTCCCACATGGTTCCGTCACATCTTCCCGTCCCACACTGCAGTTTGGAATTTTTCCATCAGCGTATAAATGGGAAGCTCTTCCTTCCATAGGTTACTGAACATTCCTCCTCTGCAGCAAAACCCACAGAGCAGGCAGTTACTCGGTGGCAGCCTCTGCCCGCCCTCTGTCTAACCTCTTGCAGTTGTTCCAGGGGGATCGCTCTGTGAAGGCCCCTCGTGAACTCCACATGGCTCGGTCTCCCTCTGGTTTGACTTCGAAGCAGCAGGTCTTCTCCTTGGTCTCCTAGCACAGCATGCCTGGGTTTTCTCTGACTCAGTCTCCCTGACCTCCTCTGCTCTTTATCTTCCTCTTATCGATGACGCAGGACTCCTTCCTTCACTCTGTTTGTACTGACTAGA